TCTAGTTGCTAGAAAATATTTTAAATCAAAATTTTCATCTAAATGATGAAGACTAAATGTGATATAATTTCGACGCTTGAAATGATCGGTCCATAAATCAAAAGTGATAGGACAAAATTTTGGTCCAGAATCAATCAAATTTAAAACATGCGCCTTTATAGATAAATAAACATCGTCTAGTGCACCCCGACTAATGGTTGTCCTATTTGGCAATTATGACGTGGAATCAATTATCTTATATATCTATTTTTTGGGCAATTTATTTTTTAATAATCATTTTATATAAATTTTAAACCTTTAGAAAATCTGTCATTCCTTTATTGTTTATAGAATCAAATGGCATTAAATCTAAGCAGAACATCAAAACCTAATTTCGCCCTATTAGACATATTTATTTTAGACATTAAAAAGATATTTAAAAACATCAAAATAATTAGAGCTAATAAATTATATATTAAGTTTATGCTTTAAAAGATATTTAAAAACAAAATAATTAAAGCTGGAATGAAACAAATTATAAATTAGATTTAGTTTTAACTTTCTAAAATAAAGTTTTAAAAAATTAATTTAATAAATTATATATTAAATAATACTTTAAAAAGATATTTAAAAAACATCAAAATAATTAGAGCTGGAATGAAACAAATTATAAATTTGATTTAGTTTTATTTTTCAAAATAAAGTTTTACATAATTAATTTAATAAATTATATATTAAGTTTATACATTAAAAAGACTTTTAAAAAATATAATAATTAGACTTGGAATGAAACAAATGATGAATTTGAATTAGTAGTACCTTTCAAAATAAAATTTTACATGATCAATTTAATATATATATTAAGTTTATACATTAAAAAGATCTCAAAGAGCTGGCAATAAATAAACTAAAAATTTAGTGTTTTGAACTTTCAAAATAAAGCTTAATAAAATTAATTTAACAAACCAGTTAAAAATTTTAAATGAATAATAATAAACAATATTACTAACCTAAGAGCCATTTTTTATCTTTTATATTGTTGCTGCATCTTGGTGTTGGCTTTAAAAACTTTTTTAGATTTTGAATGGATTTATTATTATTCATTTTTTCTGTTAGTTTGTGATAATTGATGAGGTGCCGAGATTGATTGCTTGTACTTATATTTTTACTAAAACATTTTATTTCATAACTAAAATAAAATATAATAAATATAAGTCTAAAATAAAATATAATAAATATAAGTCTAAAATAAAAATAAATTACTGTGAAAATGAATTATGTTTATTCGAATCTTCCTCATCTTTTTTCGCCAATTTTAAGTAAGGTTCACTATAAATATAATCAGGCATTATTGTGCTTTTCTTATTTTCATTCTTCAAAATAAGATTTCCAGAGTACCTCCAGGCATAACTTGATTTATGATTAGTAGAGAGAGTTGTTATTCATAATTGTATATAGGGTGGTTTAAAACGTGCAAGTCCATAAAAATAATTAATATGAATTGTTTGTAGAAAAAAATATGATGTATGAATGTAAATGATATACACTAGTCTATGATATATAGCAAAAGAATACAATTCATATTTTAATTTTATTAATGTTAGTATTCAAATTAAAATAATAATAATTTATTATATAAATATAATTAATATGCTTTCTATAAATTGCACACGCCGCGCCGCCGCCATAATAAAAATCGGCCGGCGGCTTTTTCGTTGTGAATAAAAATACCGGCGTGAGCCGGCGGCGCACAGGTCTATGTTCAGAGTATCCTCCTTTGATGTTATCGTCTGCTGGGAGCCTCTGGTTGTTCACTGACAATACCATTGGAGGATATTGTTAATCGGTGGTAAGACTGTAGATCCTGCTTGGGGCGCACCAAAATCATTATCCACTCCAGAAAGCGAGCCTTCTAAAGATTCGATGATAGACGATACCTCCTCATCCAGACTATTGATGTCTGAGGAAGCCGAGGGTGCGGATGAGGGGTTGCCTATCTTCCATTCTTGGATTTTCTAATCTTCTGACAACAACGAAACCACATCAGACGAAGATTCGGGTGGTTGACTGACAACGGCTGCATCCAGTGATAGCGAAGGCGGTAGATTGTTCCAAGATTCCGATACACCAGATCCTTAATCGTCATCGGGCAAATTTGTCGGTCCGAACCCGAAATTTTTTTAAAAAAAAATTACCGACCCGGCCAGCCCGAATTTATTTAAATATAGAAATTAATTTTTATATTTAATTAAAATAAAAGACATATGTTATATGTCGTTTAGTTTCAATTAATAAAATCAAATATTTTTATTTTAACATAAAAAAATTCAATATAAAATTGATAAATTTAGATATATTTAAAAAATAATCCAAGGTCCGACCCGGCCCGAACCCGATTATTTTAAATAAAATTAGGCCTGAAGCCCGTTCGGGCCGGGGCCGGGCCTAACTTTGCATATTTCTACTTTAAATCATTAAATACCCCAAAAAATGGTTTATTAATATAAATTAAATGTAAAAAAATAAATATTTTAAAATTAATAATTTAGACAAACTAGAAGAATAGGAAAAAATTTATAACATCATTATTATTTAATTGTTTAGATAAAAAAATTTTTCATTGATAAAATGGTTGATTAAATTATTAGAAATGGATCTTTCGTATTAAGAAGTCTTGGCAGTATATGAGGTAGTAAGAATTTATCATCTCTTATATTAAGTCATGTGCAATTATTAAATAAGTGTTTGTATTTTTTTTGGTTAATATTTTTAAGCATATTTTGAAATTTTTTTTTTTTTTTTAAAATGAGTCGCATGAATAAAAGATGCGAGTGTTTCAAGAAAAACTTTAAATATTCAACGAAATGCCATATTGCATTGAATAATTGTTCCAATAAATATTTATTTTTTAATTCGGATTTTTTATAAATATATATTCATGTGAAAATATTTAATATTTTTTAAAACAAAAATGTCTTAACCTCATCCCTTTTTATTCATTATATGTCTTAATTTTATACTATTTACTTTTTTTTAAATTCACTTTTTAAATCCCTTATTTTGGTCTTTAAATTATATGGTGCCAGCCGCAAAAAAAGGAAGAAAAAGTAATTATATAATTTTATTTTCATGGGAAAGATTCCGAATAAAACATGGGGATTATAATATATTCTTAATCTATCAATTTAGATGATGTGCAATACTAATAATTATTATTAATGTAATATATCAGTTACAATTAAAACAAATAGTATTTGTTTTACAAAATCGATTTTATTTATTCATAAATTGATTTCCTTATTTAAAATCAACCAACATATTCATTGGGCAACTTTAAATTATAAATAAAATAACTTATTTATATAATTTATTGTTCAAGCCTTAAAAAGAATATTAGAGGAATTATTTGCTTTAGTATAGAATACAACATGTATAACAATAATTTGAAATATTATTTTATTGAAAATTATTAAATGTCAAATTTTTTATTTTAATTTAAATGAACGAAAAAATTTAAACCCGGCCGAAGACCGGGCAAAAGGGCTGAAAGAGGTGTGGACCTCCTCAAGAAAATTCCTAGCTACGCCACATCCATATGGGGCGACTACATAAATTTCTTTTATAATAAAAGTTCTTAGATTTTTGAAAAGGATTTTTGCATTTATTTATACAATTGTAATGAATGATAAGAAAAAAATAATATCGAAATATTTTAAGAAAAAAATAATAATTAATTAAAAGTAGGAACATGAAAACTGGCTATAATCTTTCAACGATTTAATGATGATATTTTCTGTAAAGGATCCATCGGAATTGGTCAAGAATCTAAACACTTAATTATAACACATATTTAACATAAATGCTCCATGGATGACTCAATTTCCAAACTTGAAGCGGATCGATCACTATATCTATAACAAATGCCTACTATAATATAATATTTTAACTTTAGAAAGCTCATCAACAGCGACTGGGCGTGGGCACCTATAATTTAATGAAAAGTGATAGGAAATATTTTTTATAATTTTATTTACATTTTGTTTCTTTTTTAACGCGTAAATTTTTTTTATTAATTTATAATATATATAACTATATTCCAATCAAATTATAATATAATATAATAAAAACTCATTCTATAAAAACGGAGGTGGGACTACAAGTTATCAAAAAACATGAATATTTATATTTTAAAATGGTAATTGAATATTTTGTTTTAAAAAATAATATTCTCTAGGTTCTGATATAAGTACCCTTATTTTACCGCCTATATTTTTAAAAAATTTTAAAGTTCCGCTTGACATATGTCCAAGGGAAGAAATAACGATTGGTAAAAGAACATAATTTGTTAATTACTTATTATATTTACAAAATTAATAAAATATTGTTCGAAAATTTTAATTTGCTTATTATTTATTTACGGTTAAAAGATTATTATAATCGTAAAACTCTAATTTGTTAAATAATCTCCTTTTATGATATTGATAATGTCAAATTTTGTTCTTTATGTTTTGAAATAGAAAAAATAAAAAATTATTTTAACCAAAATTATTTATAAACAACCGTCTATTTTTGAAAAAAATATCGCAATAATTAAAACATAGCTGTCCCAATTTTAATTTTTTTTTGCAAATAGATAATAATGTTTAATAAAATATTAAATTTAATAAATTCGGATAGAGAAACACATGGGTCTTTCAGGTTCAAATTATGCAATGTAGATAAAAACCTCATCATTATAAATGTAAACTTTTTAAAAATACTTATAAACCAGAGATTATTTTTAGCAATATTTTTTACTTTTCTTAATTTGTTTAAATCATATTTTTCTAGCATTTTTAAAGTTGTTGACCATTGATATCTCCGGAATTAGTTCCAGGAGGTTAAAATTATGGTCGATTCCTTCTAATAATGGTGTCTTAGATGCAAACTTTTATCTAAAATAAAAAGGTCAAAGCTGTAAAGATATAGATGATATGGAATTACCCTGTCTTGAATGCCAATATTTTATATGTATATATCAGGAAAATTTGCCTGCCTTATATTCTCACTTTAACGAGATCGGCATAGAGGTTCACATGTTTGCCTCCCAATGGTTTTTGACGATTTTTACGGCCAAATTCCCGCTCAACATAGTCTTCAATATATTGGACGTTTTCTTGTGCCAGGGCATGAATACTATATTTTGCGTGTCTTTAGCCCTTTTAAAGGTTACTCGCTTACATATTTATTTTTGAAAAAATAGTGGGGATAAATGATGGAACTAGAACTGGGAAAACAAAATAATGTATTTGAATTACAAATGCTGTCTAGCCATAAATTTATGAATGAGAGGCTGAGGAAATGTTTTTGTTAAATTGATCCAAATGTAAATATACTTATATTTATTTATTAGATGTCGGAAAAAGAGTTGCTCAATTTAGACTTCGAAGAAGTTTTGAAATTTTTTCGCGTTAATTTACCCAAAAAATTTAGAAACCAAGCTTCCGCTCATAAGATGATGGATATCGCCAGCTTTATAAAAGTGCTTTAAAATAGATAAAATTAGGGGAGACCAGGTCTGTTCGCATTGAATAGCCTCATAATTAAAAATAAAAATTTTTTTTTAAATGTACGATATAATTATTTTAAGTCCATATATAAAAAAACATTCTATTGCATAGAGCCAAATACCTGCCCTCCCCGATTTGAGTTAGTAAAACCTTCAAGCCTTTTTTTTATGGTCTTGAATTTTTGGGGATTGTTTCATTTATTTTACAATATTTGGTAAAAGAGCAACTTATATACGTTTTTTTAGGTATGGAAAAATATAAAATTATAAGTTTTTCAATAATCGATATATTACTTTTTTTAAGTTATAAAAAAAGGTATAAACTTAAAAAAGAAAATTATAAAAGTATAAAATATTTGTATAATCGTAATTTTAAATAATAAACGAACATCTAAACTTATATATATAAAGCAAAATGTACAAAAAAGAAAAATATAATATTTAAATATCTGCTTTAAACACCCCCTTTAATAGGTCAAACGATCGGGAGGGTTCCTCCTATGTTTAGGATACTGGTTTTCTAACTGTAAGGGGGATTTTGGTCGAAGGTCTAAACTATTTGAATTGATAAAGATAATTATATTGGTTCCGTGTTGATGGTGGCCAACGGGGAGAGGGATGTTGGTCATACGTTCAACAGGTATTTCAGCAAAAGTGAAGTAATTTGCCGGCTCTATACAGCTAACCTACCATCGATTCAAGTTTAGATTTTCGTTCACGATTTTTAAATAACGGTTATTCAAAAACCTACAATTTTTGCATAATGAAAAGAAAATTGTAGGTTTTTGAATATCAAATTTAAACAATCCCCCACCCACCGCTAAATGATTGCTCTATTAGATATTTTATCTTGTCAAGTTTCTATTTTGAGATGTAAGATTTGAAACGTGATTTTGAAATATAATACAAGAGCAAAGTCATGATTAATTATTGACCCATTCAAAAATCTGACATTTTAAAATACATTTACATATACCGGGCCAGTTTATACTAGATAAAACAACTAACATAAACTCGTCTTTTTCAAGGGCTCTAATCTGCTGTCAATTATTGAATCACTTTTCATTTTATCAAAATGGTTTTCGTTTTTCATTGCTTTGTGACAAATTTAATAAGCCAACATATCTATGTAAGGCTGTGTCCTAAATCAAAAAAAAAATTTCTTAAAATTTTTGCGAATCGCAAAAATTACGGGAGATTTGGGAGATACTAAACATGTCCCGATTCATACATTTATTTTCAATTTTAAAATGTTTGATATGAATGATTTACAATTTCTATTTTTTATATTATTTGTTGATACGACTGAGCGTAGAAGAAGGCATAGATTTTTAGAAGGCCGGTATATATGATATTATTTATATTATATGTATTAATTCTAGAGATCAAGGACTTTTTAAAATATTTGATAGTATTCCATCTTATCCTGACAAATTTCGTTTTCAACTACATTCTTATAAATTTGGAGTCTATAGACACCGCTATAGTTAAACATAAAAACATAAATTTTATTAAATTTTGCCTTTATTCCAGAAAATATTTTCTTTATTTCTTCATATGTAAGATCAAAGTTCTTACCAATCTCTTCTAATTTGATTTTGCTAGCAGCGGTGTCTCTATATTTAAGATCACTAGTGCACCATAAATATCTATATCTGCTAATATTTTCCATTAATAAATATTCGGTTGCCATTTTAATCCCTCAAATTGTAAAAGTTTAAGGAAAAAATGATTAAAGTTTTACGAATCGTATAACTTTTAAGAATCATGTGATTTGCGCAAAATCGAAAAAATCATTTAGGCCATCATTTTAATTTTCCATTAAAAATGGCTTATATTATTTTTTTCGTTAAATTCGCGCAAATTGCGCGAGATAATTTTTATGCAATTTTTGATATTTAGGACACAGCCTAAACTATATTTTATTACATAATAGTATATTTAAAATTATTTATCTGGGATAGTTATTATCTTATAATTTGTTAAAGATAAATTTATATTAAGTAATTTTTAAAAAATAATTCTTTTTATGTTAAAAAAAGCAGATTAGCAATAAAAAACTCAAGAAATACGAAAAGGAATACCTCGAAATGAAAGAGAAGGAAATGTTTGAAAAAGATCCCGTCGAAATATTAAAAGTATTCGTAATGATTTTAAAAATTTGTTCATTTTGATAGAAGCCATAAAAAAATGATAAGCTAAAAAGTGTATAAATTATCCATCAGGTGATTTTTAACCTATTGTGTTAAACCCGACCCGATATTTTAAAATCATTTTATGATCCTATATGGGCTAGCTGGCCTCTGATCCATACTCGAAAGAAATAATAGAACACGACATGTGCACAAATTATCAAAAAAAGTATTGATTGCTTTTTAAAATAGCGGAAAGGTTATCTATAAAAAAGCAGATTTTACTTTTGTAATCTTTTTATATGCCTTTCCAACAAAAATTGTTTTAAACGACGATTGCTCAACCTTAACAAGATTTGCAAATACTTTATAAATACATTTTTGGTATACCAAAATATATCGTCGATACCTGCATATTTAGACATCTTAAAAGTATCGCTAAACAACTTTCCTTGTGAAAAGGGTTTTAAAAACATTTTATTTGCCAAAACTAAAAATAGAATGATAAAAACTAGTAATGTAAGTCCCTATAAAATGAAATAAATAAAAGTGCTTACCCTTTTGCCAAATAAATTAATCATAAAATGTTTTCTATATATATATATATTATTTTTTACAACAGAAAGAGAACTCAAAATTGAAGGAGGCCTACATGCGACTGGAAAGGGAAAATGATCATTTAGCGCAAGAATTAGTTTCAAGCAAAATTAGACTTAGGACCGATTTAGATGCCGTTAGATTTTTCCCCTTATAATAGTGCGCACAAATTGAGATTTTTCATTTTTCCATACTTTTCAATGAAAAAAAACATAACGAAAGTATTGAAAAGGCAAATCAGTTTGTATTTTTTTAAATAGTTGATAGATAGGAAGAAAGAATTTGTACGATACCATTTGAAATGCATTATATGCTGAAACGCTCAATTTATGCGCACTATTAATTATTACGATTGCGATTTATTATTATATTTTACCATTTCTATAAAGCAAGAAAATTCAGGGTCAAATTTTATGAAATCCTTCTTAATTCACTATTTTGAATGGTTTCGATTGTTTTTTTTTATAAATTGTTTCGAGAAAAATTTAAATAAATGAATAATAAATGTTCCATTAGCAGGGCTTGGATGCATATATAAAATTTATTCCAAAATTCTTAATTAATATTCGTGAATATTTCAATTAAATGAAATATCTGAAATCACTGCACTAGTTGGTATAGTTTAAATAATGTTATTTTTTATTTTGTTTTATAATAAAAAAGACCGAAGATACAGCTGAAAGTTTAAGTCTAGAACTGGAACACGCCACAAAAGCATTAAAGGACACGGAAGAGGATAACAAAAGATTATTGCAAGAAATTCAACAAGTTTATTTTGCTTAAAAAATATTCATAACATATTATACTAAATAAATAATTTTATTTTGTTATAGTATACTTTTTATTAAACGAAAGTGAAAATATTAGTATGATTTTCAATTTTTCAATAATTAAACAAACACATCATCGAATTGATAAAGTTTTTCCATTCTTATATTCAATATATTATTTCTACCCTTAAATAAAAAGGTGAAGCAGATGTGCCGGCGTGAATTGCAAAAATATGAGACTGAAGCTCTTGATAACGAAAAAATAATGGACGATTACAAACAGGTTAGATTATTTTATTAAAGGAAAAACTATCTCTTTTGTAGATAAATAATGCAAAGCGAGGGAGGAGGAAAATAAATGTTCAAAGTACTTTTTTTCTTTCTTTGCACCATAAAATGCATCCTAATGTTATTTATTTATTTGTTATCAAAGAAAATAATTTTTTTTTTGAAACTCTAGACAAACGGCACCACTTTAACTCATAACTTAGGAATATGATTGACTACAACAAAAATGGAAGAATAAATGCTCATAAAAAAATTCTAATGATTCACAAATTAATTTTGGTTTGCATCATATAAAAAATTTCAGCTGATAAATTATCGCTGAATTTCATTCGAGTGCTTTTTATTAAAAATTTTGAGTTTTCGCTGTTGATATATAGGCGAACTAAAGAAATATGCCAAAGTTAAATAATAAAACAGTAAGTCTATATATTATGCACATTTATCCATGGGTTTTTTTCCTTCTACATTCTCTTAAAACGGGAAACTATGATATTAGAACGCTCCATTATTTCAGCGCCCAAATTTTAAAAGAATATTTTTTTAAATACACTAATCATATAAAAATTGATCACAAAAACCATTTCTTGTCATATCATAATATTATATAATTTTTTAGGAATTAATAAATTATATAAGTTTATAATCATATCAATGATGTTTGATGTATTTCATTAATATTTATTCTTTTTTAAAAAATAATTTTTACTGAGATATTTAAATGTCACACAAATATAAAATGCATATAAACTTCCGGATTTTGATAAGGCATCCCACTCTTAGCGTTTAGATTGTGCTTTTTTTGCCTTTGAGAAATCTTATATTAGGGGTATATATATATTATATAATTTTTTTTTTTTAAACTTTACAAAAAATTTCGATCTGGATGAAAATAAATACTATAATTTGTCTTCACATATTCTACTATAAATATAATAATGGAAAGCAAGTTTTTTTTAAAAAAAACAACAAATGTCACATTATATTTTCTATTGCCTTCTTTTAAAAAAATATATCACAAATTGGTAAATATTTATAATCGTTTTTTTTATATTAATTTAAAAAATTATTTTAAGTTATCCGACAAGATATTTCTTATTTAATATATAATCTAAAATTATAAATTTTATCAACCCTTTTAAAATTGGTCACATCATAAAAGTATCCTTACAATTTTATACATTCATATTTATTTATATAAGAAAATTATTTATTATAAACTTTATAATATTTTATTTAAAATATTATCGTAATTTTTGTGGAATTATATTGCATTTTTCATACTCTTTAGAAGAAATGCTATTTAAAAAGAAAAATATCTTGGTTTTGATATTTCCTATTTATTAAATTTAAATAAATAGATACATATACACTACATATAATTTGTATTCCTTTATTATTGTTTTATATGTCAGAAATAAGGGCCCGACTCAATCAATGGCTATGTTATGTAAATTTTTTATGAAGGTAGGGAGGGGGGTGCAAATCTGCAAGAAATTGAGGTTTTTGGAGTATGCTTTTCATATTTTGTTAATTTTACTTAAATTATATTTCTTAGTATCCTGGAATGTAACAAAACTTGGTGCCCTTTTTCCTCTTAAGATCTCATTAATATAGAGTTTTTATTCCATTGATCAATTTTATAAGAGCGAGTTTTTAAAAGATCCACTGTAATGACTTCTATTGCATAAAAAACATATTTAATTATTTTACTCTTTGAGGTTCCCATATTTTTTTAGTAGATATTTTTGTTAAACACAAAAGTAACTTTTTAATACTATATTGCATATGCACCATCAAAATTATCCTCGATGGACACATGTGCTAAATTTTTATATCATATTGCTGGTAAATCTCGGGTTATCCAGGTTAATATCTATAAAATAGCAATTAATTTAACTAACAAAGAAATTTTTATAAATACTAGTGATCATTAAAATAAGCCGACAATTTTTTAATTTTTCCGTTTACTTGATTAAAATAATTCACCCGATTTATAATATTATAATCGTTAACTAATCTAGATTTTCATTTTTTTTCTTGGTTATATAGTTATAAGCATGAATGGATCTCAAAAATAATTACTAACTACAGAAACGGGCAAAACAAAGTAGATTTTACTAAGTTTTTGTTATCTGTCATTCTATATCAGTCAAATAATTTTATAACTTAACTAACTTATATGTATCATGTCACATTTATTTAAAGATTCATTCCTTAAAATCTTTTTAATAATTCTACAAATGTTTTTTATAGAAAATATAAAGTAAAAAGATACTATGTCAAATAGCAACCGATAAAAAGAATGTATTTTTCCGCACTAAAAATATTATCTAAATATTTTTCGCTAATAAAAATGAGTTAGATAATTTAGTTCAGGAAATAAATCTCGTTAAAATTGAGCGATCATGTTAAAACAAATTATATAATTATCATTTTCTGGGCCACTATTTGCCTCTTGGCATTGGCCTACGCAGCGGGGTGGGGCAGGTGGACAAATCCCCCCCCCCCCCCACCCAAAGCCAAAAAATGCAGATGCCGGATTACATTTTTCAAAAATGTTATTGTTAATTATATTTGTTAATATTTATTCCATATTTAATTACATTTATTTATCACATTCATCTACTAAGTTATTTTATCAATCAACTTCGATTTCAAGTTTTCCTTGGCGTAATTTATCTATTATTTTCAAATTTTAGTGGTGTAATATTTATCTAAATTTCAAGTCAAATAATAATTATCTCTGAAACTCCTTGTCCAACAGGGAGAAAGAAATTGCAAGCTTGTCCAACGAGATCTAGTCTCCGCCACAGTAACAGCTATTATGGAGTTAGAAGAGCCGATTATTAATGCTATTACTGAAATTTCACAATGGCTTAAAAGAAATATTTCCTCAGAAGCAAGAAAATTATTGGATTCAATACTTATTCCAAATTTTTTTTCTCATTAGAATGTATTATTTAATTATACAACTATTTTATGTAATTGAAGTGTTTTATTAAATAAAAGTAAGTAAAAGTACAAGTAAATTTAATACAAAATATCACGTATATATATATCATGAATTCAATCCTTCAGGTTATATCATTTACAAACGAAAAGTTAATATTATATTCAATTTGAATTCAATTTATATTACAGTTCTCCCCACTATAAATTGAATTCATCGTGATAACGTAATGGGGGTTTTGAAACTTTTTTCAAGAGTTGTATTCTCATGTTCTGCCTTTTCCACTTCTTCGGTCAACGTAACGGGTATTTCCTTCTCTTGTGTATGTGCATCCCTCAATTGATCTGCATGCTTGTTTTTAACGATCCCCTCTGATTCCACATCGTACAATATTGCGCTTTTTCGTTGTAACACTTTTCCTTCATGCCACCCTGCTGTCCTTTCGTTTGCTATCCAAACTTTTTGCTGCTCTACAAACTCCCGAGGTTCAACACTTCTATCTTTGTAGTACTTTTGTTTCCATAGAGCGTTTTCCGTCCTTTCTCTCGTTGATAATTTCCACTGATCCAATGTCGTCCTAAGCGACCTTCCAAACATCATCTCGGCAGGAGATTTACCAGTAGTTGCATTGGGAGTATTACGGTGAGTAATTAAAACATTTGCTAAATTTAACTGGTCCGGAGTCCCACATCTCCTTCCAGCATAGAAACGCGTCTTTATCGTCCGTATATATTGTTCAGCCAAACCATTCGATTTGGGGCTATAAGGGGCCGATCTAAAATGTTTTATATTGTTTTTAAAAAGAAACGTTTTGAATTCAGATCCAGTAAACTGAGTACCGTTATCTGAGACAATGTAGCGAGGTAACCCAAATCTAGCGAAATAATTACGCAGATTATTTATTACACTCGCCGAATTAATATGTGTTAAAATTGCAACTTCAACCCATTTGGTAAAAGCGTCTACGCAAATTAACCAATATTTTCCAGATACGGGGCCTGTCAAATCAATGTGTAATCGTTCCCAAGGTCGGGTTGGAATGTTCCAATTGTATAATGGCACTTCTTTAGCTCCCGGCCTTCCTTCTTGACAACTCTTACAACATTTAACAAATTCTTCAACATCCGTATCGAGATTTATCCAAAACACGTAATATCTACACAATGATTTCATCCCCACTATCCCAGGATGTCCTCGATGAATCACATATAAAACCTCCTTTTTTAAAATATCTGGAATAATAATTCTATCATTATAAAATAATAATCCTTCTTCGAACGAAATATTATCTTTAATCGAAATATATTTTTTTACAATCTCCGAATAATTATTTATATTATCAATATACCAATGATTTTTTATTAATTTAATAATCTCTTTTAGGTTTATATCATTGCTCGTTTCACTTACGACTTTACTGCGTGTGAAAGATAAATCCTCTATTAAATTAATTTTTAATCCTCTGATTTCTTCTTCGAATTTTTTTGTAACTTCATTGGTTTTTGCTTTCTCTACCCCCAAACGGGACAGAGCATCGGCACATTTATTTTGATTACCTGGTCTATATATTATCTCATAATCATCGCCCACCGTATTAAACGGTTATTTGTTATTTTGTTAAGATCTCTTTTATCACCTAAAATATATTGTAATGGTTTATGATCAGTAACCAAGATAAAATGTCTTCCAAAAATATATTGATGAAACTTCTCGATAGCGAACATGATCGCCGAAGCCTCCCGATCAATTGTGGCATAATTCTTTTCAGCCGCCGAAAGTGTCCTCGATGCGTAAGCAATCGGTTTCTCCTGGCCAGTAAGAAATCGGTGTGCAATAACAGCTCCTAGACCATCTTCGGAAGCGTCACAAGAAATCACGACAGGGATATCGGCTGAATAAGGAATTATTGTATCTTCTTTTGACAATATATTTTTAACTTTAGTAAATATTTCATTTTCTTTAGCTGACCAAAACCAACCAACATTTTTACTCGTTAGTCGGTGTAAAGGCGCACAAATAGAATGCAAATTTTTAATAAATGCCTCATGATAATTCACTTATCCAAGAAATGAACGTAGTTCTTTAACATTGGAAGGTGTTTTAAAATTTTTTATAGCGCTAATCTTATCTTCTGTAGGGTGAATTCCGAAACTGTCAATAACATGACCTAAATAAGTGACTGACTTTTCTCCGATTTTAATTTTATCGGTCGTCGTGGTCAGTCCAGCCTTCTCAAATCTTCTTAATACTTCTTCCAAATTAACTATATGATCGGAATTATTCTCACCTGCAATAATTATGTCGTCTAAAAATACACTAACCATAGGAATTCCCTTTATTAGGTTTTTCATAAAGCGTTGGAATATTATCGGAGCGCTAGTCAAACCAAATGGAATTCTTTGGTATCGGTAATAACCGACATGTGTCGAAATTACTAAAAGGTCCCTACATTCTGGACTAACTCCGAATTGTAAAAATGCATCTCTTAAATCTATTGTTGAAAATATTTTACCACCCGCGATTTTATTTGTTAGGTCGACGAAAGTTGGTAGTAAATCGTTATCGATCACTAGATATTTGTTGATTGTTAAACGAAAATCTCCGCATATCCGTACGGCACCGGATTTCTTTAAGATATTAACCGTTGGCGTAGCCCAAGTGATTGGAGTTATTGTTGGATCCACCTTCTCGATAACGCCTTCGTCTAAAAGTCTGTCCAACTCAGCTTCAATGGTTCGACGCAACGGAAAAGGAACTCTTCTTGCTGGTAATGCAATCGGTAACGTGTTCGGTTCTATTCGGATGACTGCCTTTTGCAGTTTGATTTCACCTAATTTTTTTTTAAAAACTTGAGGGAATTTTGAAACAATCGTATTTAAAGAGGGAATATTCATATTTATTTTATTAATACGAACTTCTTCCGGTAGTTTTATATCAAATTCTCTAATGAAAGGCATCCCAAAAATAAGGGAATTCTCCCCTTTAACTACCCAAATAAGTAAAAATTTCGAAATATTTTTTACTTTGACTTCTACGGTACATTTACCTAGTACTTCGATTTGGATATGATTATATCCCACTAATTTATAAGCCGGTGATAGTTGTGGTCTGCCAATACGATTCCAGGTGACCTCATCAATCACACTACACGCGGCGCCGGTATCAAACTCCATAGCTAGCTGCAACCCATTTATCTTCGCATCGATGGTAGCTTTATTTGAAAATGACAGGCGAGGTGTCCGTGGCAGAATCATTTGTATGGCATGGGTTCTACAATCTTTCGCTATGTGGTTTGCC